ACACACTTTCGACNACCCCACCTGCTTTCCGACCTTACCCACCAACTTTCCGACCTTACCCACCAACTTTCCGACCTTACCCACCAACTTTCCGACCTTACCCACCAACTTTCCGACCTTACCCACCAACTTTCCGACCTAACCCAACAACTTTCCGACCTAACCCACCAACTTTCCGACCTAACCCACCTGCTTTCCGACCTAACCCACCAACTTTCCGACCTAACCCACCTGCTTTCCGACCTTACCCACCAACTTTCCGACCTTACCAACCAACTTTCCGACCTTACCAACCAACTTTCCGACCTTACCCACCAACTTTCCGACCTTACCCACCTGCTTTCCGACCTAACCCACCTGCTTTCCGACCTAACCCACCTGCTTTCCGACCTAACCCACCTGCTTTCCGACCTAACCCACCAACTTTCCGACCTAACCCACCAACTTTCCGACCTAACCCACCAACTTTCCGACCTAACCCACCTGCTTTCCGACCTAACCCACCAACTTTTCGACCTAACCCACCTGCTTTCCGACCTAACCCACCAACTTTCCGACCTAACCCACCAACTTTCCGACCTAACCCACCTGCTTTCCGACCTAATCCACCAACTTTCCGACCTAACCCACCTGCTTTCCGACCTTACCCACCAACGTTCCGACATTACCAACTAACTTTCCGACCTAACCCACCTGCTGTCCGACCTAACCCACCTGCTGTCCGACCTAACCCACCTGCTGTCCGACCTAACCCACCTGCTGTCCGACCTAACCCACCTGCTGTCCGACCTAACCCACCTGCTGTCCGACCTAACCCACCTGCTGTCCGACCTAACCCACCTGCTGTCCGACCTAACCCACCTGCTGTCCGACCTGCCTAAACTGCTTTCCGACCTAACCCACCTGCTTTCCTACTTCCCTCACCTTCTGCCTGCCTGCCTGCCTGTATAATTACCCTATGACACCGCCGTTACTGCTTCTAATTCTCCTCCATCTGCGGGCCCCCATCCCCTTGGTTGTGCGTATGAGATGGTGGAGGGAGTGCAGCTGCGAGTAATGGAGGACGCCGTGAGTAGGCCAGCCACCTGCGCCACCTACTTTGGAATGCCAAGCGCTCCATGACCACCACCAGTATTGCTACTCTACTGCCGTCACAAGGGGCCTCAAGCGTAAGGCGTGTGTCATAAACAGCACCGGGCTTTGCCTGTTTCTAGCACTGTGTCTCACGCTCCTTACCGCCTCGCGGTAAAGGAGTAGTTTATCCCCCCAGGGTTGAAATGATTGGTTTGGATTATAATGGAACCCCTCAAAGACGAAACATGTGCGTGAACATCCGTCCTCGTTTCACAACTGCAAAACACCCCTCCTCCTTTATATTAACAACTTCCTTCGGTTTGCTGATGCAGTCTCTGCAATCTGAACGCCCAAAACCGTAATCCAATCCACTACCCCGCTTCTATATGGGATCAAACCCACAGGATAGGCATTTGTTCTGAGTGGTGCACCAAGATGTACATCAAGATCTGCTGAGTTTGGGCGGCCACCCGCCACTGTGGCATACCCCTCTAACCCCTGCTGCGCACGATGCTGCATGCACAAGAAGGTGGGGGATGTAGGGGTTTAGGATTCGAATGAAGGTGGTGCAGATGAAGGGGCTGGGCGATGTCCCCTCCCATTATTTTCTCTACAATCATTGGTGATTGTTTCGCACCTTTTTGCGGTGCTGCCATTGAAAGTGCAGAACTCTCGTTACGACTCACCTAACGGTTTACCGTTGCCGTTATGTCGTTTGCTGCTGTTCTCTTCACACTCCGACATACTCCGACGTGGTGACGAGCCAGAAACATTGATCAGCTCTCGCGAGTGCTCGTTGTCTGGACACTTGCCACGTCACGCTTCAGAGCGCAACAATGCTGCGCAAAGGGGCCCTTACATTTCCTTGTCAGCGGACTGATTGAGCGCGGGCCGCCTGTC